GGCAGGCCCTTAGTTGAATAAATTAGCTATTTATATAAACTAAAACATATTTTAGCTAATTAAATACTGGTTCAAAAAACCTAGAAATTGTAACCTTACATTGGCGACTTGGTCATAGTGCGTAGCCACCAAGATGACAGGCGAGCCAGGAGCACGCGCTTGTATAGACCTGTTAAATAATAAACATATTTAATATATGATATACTAATATTATAAAGAGGAAAGATTTGTATTTTTGTATGTATTGAAGTAATTCAAAAACTATTATGCCAATGTCAAAAATACCTGCACAATTAAAAAGCTACGTTATCACTAGAGAGGATATATTTTTATTTTTAATTCTACACGGACGAAGTCACGAGTAAAGCTGGTTTAGTATACAATGAAAAAAAAATGGTGTAAAATACTTCATTGTTACGTAAATGTTGGTATCTCCTGGTCTAAATTTTTGACGTTTATTTTCATGCAAGCAATCAATGCCTCCGTGGCGCAATTGGTTAGCGCGTTCGGCTGTTAACCGAAAGGTTGGTGGTTCAAGCCCACCCGGGGGCGAAACTTTTTTTTCTATTTTTAACATTTTTTTTTTAAATTTCAGATATTTTGCAGATAAACTCTTATAAACTTTTTTATAAAAATTAAAAGATTTTATTAATCAATTTATTGCTTGCAATATGCGATTTTTTCCAATAAAAAAAGTGCTGTTTATTTCTATTTTTTTGTTATTTTGTATTGAAATTATAATTACTTTATTTTACTGTTTACATTTGTCAACATTCAAAAGCACAAATAATAACAAAGACTTGCCACTGTATAACAATTACCGTTACCATAGCAACCTTGTTTTCAATGGTCCCAACTTTAGGGTTTTTTCCGATTTATTTACCCCCTAAGTGTAATAGTGAGAAAATATAACCTAAAGCGTGTCTAAAGGGCCTTTTATTAAATAAAGAATTATACAAAAATATGCTGTGATACGCCACGATGTTTACGCTTTATTATAGACTAGCTGTTCCCATGCGACTTCATCCGCATGAAATTATAAAAAAAAAACTATATTATTGTTTACATTTGTCAAATTACAAATGTCTAAATGACATGACATGATGACATAGCATGGCAACCTTGATTCCTTGATGTTGGCAGCAACTTATGGTCTCTTTCCCACATTAGGGTTTTTATCCATAATATTTACCCCCTACGTTTAAAAGTGTGTGTAAGTGTAGGGTTTTTTTAATACAGAGAAAATTATTCAAAAATATGCTTTGATTGACATCTTACGCCTCAAAGTAGTGTGTGTTTACGCTTTATTATAGATAGAAGAAGAAGACAGAAGTATAGAAATATAGATTTATGTAACTATATTACCTGAGCCAGGCCAGTGCGCCGGCCAGTCCGCGGCGGCCGTCAGTGCAGCGCCACACCACCAGGTACAGCGAGCGCCGCGACAGGAAGTACTGGTGCGTCGCGTAGTACCTGCGCACACATCATAATGTACAGTCGCGGACATCACCGGTGTACGAGTTACAGGAATACGAGACAAACTCCGTTCTTTTTGTTGTAGTAATTAGTTATTTTTTGGTAATATTTAAGGTATTTAAGTCTGTTTTTTGATGTAGTTACTTCCCGTGTCTTATTTGGTGTTTATGCTTTTATATTTTATCGTAATTTACTTGCTATTTTGTTTATGTGAAAAAGGTAATGCCTATAAAATGTAAAAATAATTTTGTGTAACATTTTTAATATAAAGAAAAAAAAAACAAATGAGCTAGTAGTAAGAAGTTAGTAACGCAAACGGGGTAATAATTATTAGTCGTGTACTTAGAATCCTTATTTGTATTAGAATTTATTCTGCGTCCTATTGCCTATTATTCCGTCGACACAATGCGTACAGTTTTAACAACTATTGTCAAACACCGACAAATTCCCTGATAGTACACACGTCATATGACACTGTCTTACTCCTGTTGTCCCCCGAAGTCCCATGTGCGGAAGGTGACAGGTCCTCGCGAGGAGCGGTGCTTCTCGTACACCCAGCTGCCGATGTCCACGCCCACCGTCGACACATTCCCACGCCGAGACGACTTGTTGCCCATGC